TTCCTATTTAATCGCGATCGGACGGTCCAGATCAAAAGCGATGGACGACCTAAATCAAAAGTGGATGGGTATAAATAACCACATTCGCACCCAAAGCCTAACCCTAGCCGCCAAAATCTCTAGTCAGAGAAGACAACCCAGCCGCCGGGGAGCCGACCGCCGCCACCCACTGCCACATCGGAGCAATTTTCGACCGCCAAACGAGGTAAAAATTTTACCCTTTGCTCAGAATTTAATTTTAAACACACTCATGACCAAATTAAAGCAAAAGGACCGGCTAATTGGCCGAAAAATATTGGCAAAGCCCAACGGCGCTGCCGTAGGGTATTTCAAAAAACGCCTCCGATGAAGTCCTTCTTGATTCCCGTTCGATGTTATTTTTCCATCGTTGTAATCATCGTTTCCTTCTCTACAGGTTGACTGGAGCAAAACACCCAACTACAACGTGAGCCGAAGAAGCCGCTGCACCGGAGAGCCCCGCTGTCGGTGAGTTTCGGTTTTCTATATTTTTTCAGCCAACAAAGGGCCTTAAGTTTGTTTTCTCGCAGGAACTGATACAAATTTGGCTGAATTCGGCCGAAAACAGGCAACTCAAGGCGGATCGCCCCCACAAGTGGCGGTGCCGTCGCTAGAGCATAGCGGAGCCGCCGCGCCGAATTTTTAAAATTGGCTTATTAGGCTCTGGGACTTATTTTTGGGTTTATTTAGGACATTTGTAGGTACCGTAAGTGTGTTTCAATTCCCAAAGAAAAATTCAGGGAACATAAGGATCGCCCATAGGCGCAGTAAACTATTTAACTTTTCGGCGTCAAATCAAGTAAAAACCCCTTACTCTATTTTCTATCATGAAATTGAAGTTTAAATAAATAATAATATTATATTTTGTACAAATTAAATAGATGTTCATAATTAATTCCGGATTACTAATGGAGACCGAACCGGACATTATTCTTTATTAATTTTTGTTGATTGATTTTGCAGTCTAAATGCATGATAGTTTCTGGTTGATCTATTTTATAGTTTAAATGTATGTATTATTGCCTTACTTGACCACTGTTTGATTTTAGGATCTAACATATGATTGCATTGTTGGATGCGTATTTATTTATTTATGTAACTATGTTTGATTTGGTAATGGAAACTAAGGAAAAACAAAAAATGGGTGTGATCTAATAGACAGATAAGATGATAACCTCACTAGATATATTGGGAGATGGTGGACGAACCAGGTTCATAGAAAATTTTACCGTGAACGTTGTCTCATATCGGACGGGGTATGGAGACTTAGTAACTTGGCGCTTATATCGGACGGGATATGGGGATGACCCGCTTCACCCTCATATCGGATGAGGTATTAAAGTTTAATGTCTTAGTTCTTATACCGGATGAAGTATGAGGACATCCCTGTAATTGAGATTGTTAAGGAAAAACGTTCACGTGTAGCGAGGACACCCCTATGGATACTAGTA